CTTGGTGTTGTCAGCACCACGCTCAGCCAGCGAGCGAACCGGCCATCCCTATATGGGATCCGAACCCGGGGCCTTGGTGTTATCAGCACCGCACTCTCCCGAGTGAGCCACGGGCCGGCCCAAGATTATTTTTTTGTGACACTGCCGTCAGTTTAGATCAGACATTACCTTAACATACTTTGCCTTATGAATTACTATCCTTTTTTATCTCCAGTACTTTCTTTGAGGAGTTGGCTAGTTAGCTCAGTGGTTTAGAGAGTGCAGCCTTATAACAATGAGGTCATGGGTTTGGATCCCCATAGCAGCCAACCGTTTAAAAAAAACAAACAAACGGTGGATTATGTGACCTCAAAGGGTTAACAATATAAGTGTTTTCCAGTTAATGTCAGTATTCTGTTCTTAAAAATCATAAACTCTACAAGAATAAATTGGGAGCATATTTAACATTATTTAAAATGGGAAAATTAGGCAGCATCACACTTCAAACCAATGTCTTAAATTGTAATTAAAATACAGTACTACATTCACTTATAAGTAACAGACCTTTTTATGTTTTATGGTTTTTAAAGTAAATAGCCTTTTTTTATGATGTTAAAAAAAATCCGTAGTTTGGGGCCGGCCCGGTGGCGCACTGGATAGTACGCCGCTTGGGAAGCGCGGCAGCGCTCCCGTCCGAGGGTTCGGATCCCACGTACAGACCGGCTCCCGCTCACTGGCTGAGCGAGGCGCGGGAGCAACGCCGAGGCTTGCGATCCCGTCGCCGGTCCCCGGTCCGGTACGGGGGCAACACTGAGGGTTGCGATCCGTTGCCGGACACGGAAAAAAGACAAAAAAAGACAAAAAAAAAATCCGTAGTTTAATTTCCAAACAATTGCTCTTTTTAATTAACATGACTTCTGTTAGTACCAGCACCTCACTGAAGTCCATCCAGCTGTCATTCTGTGTGATTTTCCAAACTTATGTGTGTGTGTGTCATGAAGTTCTATTTGATTGTATTTTTACATGTAATTTTAGTCTTTCTCCCCCTCATAATTTTGTTAATATTGAGTTCTGGGGCTTATTATATCAATTAGCATTTGCTAGGTAGGGTACTAACAAATATTCAATGACTTAGAAAAAAGCAAACCAACCATTTTATTTGTTTTAAGTACTGTGGATCCACATTTTGGGGTGTGCTCAGCTGGGCAGTTTCTATGCCAGTATTGCCTGGATATAAATGAGGCATTAATCACCTGGTGACTTGACTGAGGCTGATTGGATCAGGATGGCTTCATCCACGTGTCCTGTGGTTTGTGCCAATTCCTGAGTAGGCCATGTGTCTCCAACAGGTTAGCCCCAGTTTTCTTCACAGTATGACTGTGTTTAAGAAAGCAACCACCAGTGGCAAGTGCCTTTAAAACCTATGTTTGCATCACATTTTCCAGTGTCCCACTGACCAAAGCAAGTCAAATAGCAAAGCCCAGTTCATTGTCAGACACACAATATGGGGGCTTGGGTACAGCCCAAGGGAACATTACTGGAAGAGTAGACCACAAGATATATACATTATGTTCTTTTTCTTCCCCTATATAAATTATGGGCAAAAAATATTGAGGCTCACAATTGAACACTTTCCTGATGTTTATGCATATAAAAGCAAGATGTGTTGTAGTGGAAACACTCATATGGAGTCCTGTGTGGAATCCCTTTATTGATATTGAAATAGTTAATACAGCCGAACTATATTTTTATAATATTAGGTTTAGTGAAGACATAATGTTTTTCTCTTTGGTTTAAATGACTAAATTATACCTTTATGTAAAATTAATTGTTGCTAAAGTAGTAGGTAATGTACAAGGTGTCTTTAAAAGGTTTATGGAAGGGTTCATATTATCTTTAATTCAGTTTTTCCATAAACTTTTTGAAGTGCCCTCATATGTTTTCATTTACCAAAAAAAAAAAAACACAAACCAACAAAAAACAAATTATTGGTCTAATTTCTACCAATTAATGTCTCTGTTAATGCAGCTTCAGTGGGGTGTTTGTTGCTCCGTTTTGAGTCATAAAGGACTATTGTTTTTCAGGGAGGCTTTTTTTGGGGGGGGGGGTCATTTTCAGCTAACGTGCAGAGAGTTTTGGTCAGGAGAATCTAGGATCAAGCCATATAAGTTCTCTCCTTAATCCACTCCTTTTGCCTTCTCTTTCAGCTGTGCTGCCAGAATAGAGTGCTCTACGGGTTTTCAAGAGCAGCAAGGAATGAATAAATCTTGTGTGAGTTTATTTTTTATTTTGTTTTACATTGTATTTTATGAGCTTTGTGGAGTTCATGAATCAAAGTGGAAATGTGTTCCTCAGCTTGGAGGACATGTACTTAAATGAGATCAATTTGACGTGTAGATATAGCAGGCTGTAAGACCTTAGAATCATCTAAGTTGAGTGCAGATTTGTCTCTGGTCCTTCTGATGTCATGGCAAAAGGACAATTTCATTTGTTACATGATTGAAATGGAATCTGAGAAGAGTGTAAGCCAAATTCTCATGGGGCATCAAGACTTGCTGACACCAATGTCTAAAAGTCCATCTTCACTAGTCACATAGATGATGTAGTGGAAAGCTTTTTACCACTAGTCTGGTAAAAAACACTTTCAGTTTTCTGCAGTGGAAACAGTTATCTAGTTCTAAAACACAACTTACTTAATAAGGTGTTTCTGGAGTTTCCAAAATAGTATGGTCCGTGACAACTTTTAGAAGGTCATACTTGATTCATGGATAAAACCTGGACCATCTGGAGGTTTGAGTCAACCACAGGTTCTTAAATAACTCTCCATATGTTTCTCTCAGTTCATCTGCACTTGCAGGTGTGCAGCACACTATTCACAGTTATATTTTTTGACAAGTAATTCTTACTGTTCATTTACATTTTAACCCACTCAATGTAGTCTTAGTTCAGTTCTTCAAAAGTTCACCAGTAATACATAGTCAAATCCAATGACTATTCTCTAGTTTTTGCCTTGCTTGAATCTCCTGCCATATTTGAAACTACTGTTCATGATCTTCTCCTGGAAATTCGTCTGTGTTACTTTCTATCATGACTTCACTGATGGTTTATTTTCTTTGTCTCTGAATTCTTCCACTTTCTCTTTGCAACATAGTTCATCCAATGGTCTATCCTAGGCCCTGTTCTTCTCACTGTGCAATTTTTCTTCTCTGATTTGGTTCTTGGTAGTTTACACTCCTGTTTCCCCACCTTGTTCCTTTTTTCCAGCCTTCTGACCATAGGTTGAAGTCTCTGTGGAATGCTTCTTTGTAGCTGTCCAAAATGTACCTTAATTTCAAGAAATTCAAAACAAAAATCACAGTCCCCTCTCTCCTCTTATATATGATATCACTGTCATCTAGCCAAACCACTAAAATGGGATTTCTTTTGGAGTCTTCTTTCTTTCTTAGGCCTAATCTCATCTGGCGTCAACTACTGCTGCTTTTATTTGTTCTTTTCATTTTATTCTAATGTTTGTATATAGTGCCACTATAGAGGCTATTGGTACTTACAAACACACACAAAATAACTTTGTTTTATTGGAAATGCCATTCTTGTCAAAACCTGAAGGGTGTGTTTGCTGAGTGATGAGGTTCAATCCCTGGTGACCTGTGCTTCTGGCCAGCACAAGTGGTGAAATCATTAGGAGACCACAGGGAAAAAACATTCAGGAGTTAGTGGGACATGTTTGAACACGGGTCAAGAAAAAGACACACAAAGAATAAAAAAAGAAGCACAGATTTTCATGATTTGTACCTTTTACTCTTTATAAATATATGTCAGTGATTCTGTCTGTAGTTTGTAGTTCAAAAAGACCTGTCATGTTTTCAAACTCCTGAAATTGTATTTAATTCTTCTATTTCAGGCAATTACTTAAAAATGAAAAGGGAAAACTGGATGGGTGCATCAGTTATAACTGTATTTATGGACTAGAACTGTAATAGTCGGTTAAGAACAAAAGTGACAACCTAATCAACTGAACATTTCATATTCACAGTTACAGTTTAAGATCTCACATCACATATGAAATATGCTTTACTTATTTATTTTGAATCTAATATTCAGTCTACACCTACACACTCTGTCAAGTGAGATATTTATTTTGAATCTAATATTCAGTCTACACCTACACACTCTGTCAAGTGAGAATATTACCTACTTCTATTGTTTTTAGTGTTACGATTATCTGCTGTATAACAAAGTACCACAAAACTTAGTGGCTTAAAACAAGAATTTCTTCTCATTACATATCACAATATTGTGAGTAATAGACTGGACAGGGCAGTGTGGGCTGGCTGCTACATGATGTCTCTGGTATTAGCTGGAAAGACACTAGTGGCTGAGAGTATTGGGCAGGCATCCAGCCTGCTCTTTGTGGCCAGGTTGATTTCTTCACAGTCTGGCAGTCTCAGGGTAGTCAGGTTTGTCTGGCTTCTCCCAGAGCAAGTGTCCAAGAGGCCCAGGCAGAAGCTGTGAGGCTTATTATTATCTTGCTTAGAAGTCTGAGTGCATCTCAAGCACATCACCAGGAGCAGCCCTGATTCAAGGGGATTTCACTTGTCAATAAGAGGAATAATAAGAATTTGCAGCAATTTTTAATAAACCACAGTTTGCCACAAATTTTTACTGCATGTGAAATAAACTTTGCCTCTCTCAAGAACCTCAGAAATCTTTTGCTATTATAGGAATGGATGAAAGCCCAACTAAACCAGGCCCTTTGTTCTCTGGCCTTCCCTTTTCTCCAAGGCTGCTATGAGATGATGCCTTTAGAAACCTTATTGTTTACCATGCACTGTCTGTGTGTCATATCCTTAGAATGCTGAAATTTTTTAGTCTTTTTTTTTTTTTTTAAATAAAACACTGGGTTTGCTCTTTGCCAAAAGTGAAAGCACACCTGGACTGGTGTTGTGGGTGCTGCTGGAGACTCATGGGGACTGGCAGTGCACATACCTGCTGATAGTCTTTTCATGTGGTTTCCCACCATGGTGGTTTCAGGGTGGTTGGATTTCCTACATGGTGACAAGCTTTCCCTAAAATTAGCGTTGCAAGATACACTAGTAAAGTTGCACAACCTCTTGTAGCCCAGTCTCCAAAGTCCCCAAATTCCAGTTTTGCCACATTCTGTTGGCCAAACAGGTCACTAAGGCCAGTCAGGTTTCAAGGAGAATTCGTTTTTCCCACAGGGGGAGGAATAGGAAAGAAGTTGCAGCTGCCTTTAATCTGCCAGAAATGTCATTGTTATGTTTGTTCCAAATTTTTCCTAATTTTCATTGTGAATATTTCTTTGACTCAGGTTATTTCAAAGTATGTCATGTAGCTTTCATATATTTGAGAATTTGGTGGATATATTTTTATTGTTGGTTTCTAATTCAATTTTATTGTGGTCAGAGAAACTTCATAAGATTTCAGTCTTGAGTCTTGTTTTATAGCTCAATGTGTGCTCTGATTTGGTGAGTGTTCCTGTATTTGTTTTTTTGTTTTTCATGACAGAATACCTGAAACTGGGTTATGTATAAAGAAAAGAGGTTTATTTTTTTACAGTTTGTGAGGCTGGGATGTCCAAGATTCAGGGGGCACATCTGGTGAGGTTCTTCTTTTTTGTGGGGGCTCCATAAGGAGTCCTGTAGCAATGCATGTTAGCACAGGGTGAGAATAGCAACAGTCCTACAAAGCCACCAGTCTACACCTATGATAACCCATTAGTTCATTAACCCATTACTCCATGAATGAATTAATCCATTCAAAAGGGCACAGTTCTCATGATTCAATCACCTCTTAAAGGCTTCACCCTTATAATACCATAATTGGATTTCCCACCCTCTTAATACTGTTACAGTGGAGATCAGGTTTCCAACGCATGAACTTTTGGCAGATACTTTCACCCATAGTAGCTCCAGATTGTGCTTTATAGAGATCAATTAGGTTGAGAGGAAAAGCCACACTCAGTTTCTCCCATTATACTCTCATAATATACTTCTGACTCCAGATATGTAGGGATTTCTCCCCACACACTGAGCACGCAATCGATTCTGCAGCAGAGACCAGCTGGATGTCCTCCAATTCAAATCTGTTCTGGCACTAGCTACCTGGAGATAGCATCAGATCCCATAAGTTAAGAGCTCAGCCCCCAACACTTCTCCTACTTCAGATGCTAATTGCAAGTCCAGGTCCCTGGAACTTCTGACCAACGAGGTATAAATCAAGGTTCCCATGCCCCCTTCTTTCTCTTTAGGCTAGATTAATTTGCTACGGGGGCTCAAAGTACTCTTCCTTATGTTTATCAGTTCGTTATAAAGAATATTTCAGAGCATACAAATAAACAGCCAAATGAAGATATACATGGGGCAGGGTCTGGAAGGTTCCTAGGCACAAGAGATTCCATTCCCTTGGAGTTGGGTGCTCCACCCTCCTGGCACATGGATGAGTTCAGCTGTGCAGAAGCTCCCCAAACCCTGTGTTCTTTGATTTTCCTGGTAGCCTCATTTTCTAGGCATGATTGACTAAGTTATTGGTGACTGCTGATCACCTTAGCCTTCAGCCCCTCTCCCCTCCCTGGAGGTTGAGGGGTGGGTTGAAGGTCCCAACCCTCTAATCACAAAATTGGTTCCTCTGGTAACTAGCCCCCATCCTGAAGCTACCTAGGTGCAGCTAGCCATCAGCAACTCATTGGCATGCAAAACACACTTATCACTTTGGAGATTCTAAGAAGTTAGGAGTTGTATGCTAGGAGTTGGACGGAGACCAAATATGTATTTTTACAGTATCACGTAAATCAAAATTTGTCATTTAGGGCTGGCTGGTTATCTCAGTTGGTTAGAGCTCTGCCTTGTAACACCAATGTCAAGGGTTCGGATCCCTGTACTGGCCATTTGCTCCCCCCCCCCAAAAAAAAATTTCCCCAAAACCCAACAAAATTTGTCATTTAGATCTGTTCTTCCTGGTTTTTTAAAATCTGGCTATTCTATCAGTTACCAAGAGAGGAGAATTAATGCTCCAGCTATGACTGTGGATAATGGAGTTTGGATGTGTTGTCCCTTTCAAAACTCATGTGGAAATTTGATCCCCTGTGGCAGTGTTGGAAACTGATTGAGTCATGGGAGCAGATGCCTCATGAATGTATTCATGCTCTCCATGGGGGAGGGAGGATTAATGAGTGAGTTCTCACTCTGTTAGTTCCCGTGAGAGCTTGTTGTTTAAAAGACCCTGGCACCTCCTCTGTCTCTCCTCTTGCTTCTCTCTCTTGCTTCCTCTCTTGATCGGCTGGAGTTGGGATACACTCTTCTCTCTTGTCCATGGACATCAGAGCATGAGACTCTTTAGCTTTTGGGTTCCAGAACTTACGCCAAGGATACCATCAGCTTCCCTGGTTTTGAGGCCTTTGGACTTGGACTGAGCCTTGCTACCAGCATCCGGTTTATAGACAGCCTATCGTGGGACTTTTCTTCATAGCCACATGAGGTAATTCCCCTAATAAATCCTTCTCATATAATTATAACATATCCTATTGATTCTGTCTCTCTGGAGAACCCTGACTAATACAGAAAATTGGTACCGAGAAGTGGGGTGTTGTTATGCAGATACTTGAAAATGTGGATGCAGCTTTGGAACTGGGTAATGGGCAAAGGTTGGAAGAGTTTGGAGGACTTAGAAGAAGAGAAAAAGACAAGGGAAAGTTTGGAATGTCTTTGAGACTTACATGTGGTGAGGAGAATGCTGATAGAAATGTGGACAGTAAAGGCCATGCGGATGACAAGGTCTCAGATAGAAATGAGGAACTTATTGGGAATTGGACAAAAGATCACCCTTGCTACGCCATAGCAAAGAACCTGGCTGCATTGTGTCCATGACCTTGGACTTTGTGGAAGTTGGAACTCTGAACCAGAGTATCTGGCTGAAGAAATTTCTAAGCAGCAAAGCATTAAGGGTGCTGCATGGTTACTTCTAACAGCCTATGCTGAGTTATGCTGGCAAAGGCATGACATAAAGTCAGAATTTAAAAGGGAAGCAGAGCGTAAAGTTTTGGAATATTTGCAGCTTGGCCATGTGGCAGAGAAGCAGAGAGCAGGAGAAAAACACAAGGGTGAAGCAGATAAACTGGTTGCTAAAGACATCGTCTTGGCAGTGAGGCAGCCCGGTGCTAAGAACCAGGACAATGAAAAAAAAAATGCCCTAAAGCCATTTGAGAATTCTGGAAGGGTGCCCCACCCATCACAGGCCTGAGGCCTAGAAGGACTGAGTTGTTACAGAGGACAGACCTGAGGCGTAGCTGCCCTTGAGAACCTGCTCCCTGCATCCCAGCTGCTCCAGCTAGAGTGGCCCCAAGTGTGGTTCATGCAGCAGCCCTGGAGAGTAGAGGCTTGAAACCTCGGTGGCATCCACACAGTGTTAAGTCTGCAGGCCGGAAGGACGTGAGAGCAGTGGAGGTATGGCAGCTTCCACCCAGATTCCAGAGGATGTATGGAAAAGCCTGGGGACCCAGGCAGAGACCTGCCACTGTTGAGGCCATCTACTAAAACAATGACGAGCAGAAAAGTGGGGGCCAGAGCCCCCACCAGGGAAATGTCTAGTACAGCCAAGGTTGCGGGGCTGCCGCCAGGACCCCAGAACTGCAGGGCCATTGGCAACATGCAGTGCAGACCTGGAAAAGCTGCAGGCACCAGCGCAGCTCACTGGGTTGTGCCTGGCAGAGCTGTGGAAGTGAGGCTGCCTGAAACTTTGGAGGCCCAGATGCCCAATTGTGCCCAGGATGCAGGACTTGGAGTCAAAGAAGATTATTTTGGAGGTTTAATACATAATGTCTGCCCTGCTGGGTTTCGGACTTGTTTGGGGCCTGTTTTTCCTTTCTTCTGGCGTATTCTTCCATTTCAGAATGGGAATGTGTACTTAATGCCTGTTCCACCATTGTATCTTGGCAGTAGATAAATTTGGTTTTGACTTTTACAGGTTCAAAGCTGGAAGGACTTTTCCTTTTGGTCTTAGAGGAGACTTTGGACTTTGGACTTTTAAGTTGGTGCTGGGACATGCTAAGACTTTTGGAACTGTTGGGATGGAATGATTGTATTAGTCAACTTTTCTCTGTAGTTCTGTTGTTTTTTTGTTTCATATACAGTCATGTCCTACAGATCGCATATATGACAAAGCAATTGTTTATATAGTATGTTGGGTACATGTATAGTAGGCTATACCATCTAGATTTGTGTAAGTACATTCTGTGATGTTCACACAATGACAGTCACCTAATGACATTTTTCAGAATATATCCCAGTCATTAAACCATGCATGACTGTAGTTTGTGGCTCTGTGTTTAGGCACAGACACATCTATAATTGTTACCTCATCCTCATGTGCAATCCTTTTATTATTATGAAAGTGTTGTCTTTAATTCTGGTAATATATTTTACCCTGAAGTCTCTTCTGGCTAGTATTAATATCTTCACGTAAACTTTTATGTTAGTGTTTGTGCAGTATATCTTTTTCCATTTTTTAAATTTTCATTCTATCTGTGTCTTTGTAATTATTTATTTGTTTATTTTTGGTGGCTGGCTAGTGTGGGGATCTGAACCCTTTTCTTTGGTGTTTTAACATAGTGCTCTAATCAACTAGGCTAACCAGCCAGCCCTCTGTCTAGTATATTCAACATAATATGACGTAATTATTTTTTGTGTTAGGTACATTCACACTGTTGTGCAGCAGATATCCAGAATTTCTGTCTTGGAAAACTGAAACTCTATATCCATTAAATGACAAGTCTTTTTCTGTTTTGGTAAATTGTGTCTTTGGAGGAATTGGTCCATTTTATGTAGGTTATAAGATGTGTGCAAGAGAATTAATTGTTCATAGAATTTCTCTATTATCCTTTTAATGTCCACAGGATCTGTAGTGATGTCTCCCGTCTTTCATTTCTACTATTAGTAATTTCTGCCCTCTTTTTTTCTTAGATGGCATCCTATAGGCTTATCAATTTTATTAATCTTCTTAAAGAACCAGCTTTTTTGTTGTTGATTTTTTTCCCTTGATTTCCTGTTTTCAGTTTTATTGATTTCTGCTTCAATTTTTATTTCTTTCCTTCTAGTTACTTTGAATTTAATTTGCTCTTTTCCTCTCATTTCCAAAGTAGAATCTTACATTATTGATTGTAGATGTTGTTTTCTTTTCTAGTATATCCATTTGGTGCCATAAATTTACTTCAAAGCACTGCTTTTGCTGTATCCTTCAAGTTTTGATAAGTTGTGTTTTCATTTTTATTAGGTTAAAATAGTTTTTAATTTAAGATTTTTTCTTTGACCTGTGTATTATTTAGGGTGTGTTGTTTAATCTCATTCTGTTTGGGGATCTTCCAGTTATCCTTCTGTTATGGATTTCTAGTTTAAGTTTATTGTGGTCTGAGAGCACACATTGTATGATTTGTATTTTTAAGTTTGTTGAAGTATGTTTTATGGCCCAGCATATGACCCGTCTTGGTGATTATTCCATGTGAGCTTGAGAAAAATGAATATTCTTCTGTTGTTGAAGTAAGCAGTCTACAGATACCAATTATACCCTCATATCGTTGAGTTTTACTATGTCTTTATTGATTTTTCTTCTTTCTGGATCTCTTTTTTTGTTTTGTTTTGGGAGGCTGGCTAGTAAGGAGATCTGAACTCCTGATCTCAGTGTTATCAGCACCATGCTCTAACCAGATGAGCTAACCAGCCAGCCCTGGATCTGTTCATTTTTGATATAGGATGTTGATGTCTGCAGTTGTGATGGTGAATTTATCTATTTCTCCCTGTGGTTCCTTGACAGTCAGTTGTTAGGCACATACACATTAAGAATTGTTGTCTTCTTGGAGAATTAACCCCTATCTTGTGATGTAATGCTGTTTTTTGTCCTTGATAACTTTCCTTGCTTTAAAGTCTGCTGTATCTGAAATAAACATAGCTACTCCTGCTATCTTTTGGATAGTGTTAGCATTGTATATTTTTCTTCATCCATTTACTTTGAATTTATTTGTATCTTTATATTTAATGTGGGTTTCTTATAGAAAACATATAGTTGGGCCTTATGTTTTGGTCCACTCTGACAGTCTCTGTGTTTTAATTGGTGTGTTTAGAATATTGACATTGAAAGTGATTATTGATATAGTTGGAGTACTATCTACCATATTTCTTACTATTTTCTATTTATTGCCTTTTTGCTTTGTTTTTACTTTTGTCTTCTATTCTTTCTGCCTTTTGTGGTGTTAACTGAGCATTTTATATGATTCTATTTTTTTCTTTGTATTTTTTATGCTTATGCTTTTTTTTTTACTAGTTGCTCTAAAGTTTGATATATATATTTATTTAATATATATTTATAATCCAAGTCCACTTTCAATTAACAATATACCACTTGACAGGGAGTGCAACTACCAAATAATAATAAAACAATTCTGATTCTTTTCCTTCCATCCTTCCATTCTTTGTATTATTGTTTTCACTTCATTTTAGTTATATATAAGCTTACATGACTATGTGTATGCATGTGTATGTATAAAAGCATACATAATTGTATATGTTGTTTCTACTATTTGTACCACCTGTTATCTTTTAGATTAAGAATAAAAAAAAGTTTTATTTTACCTCTACTTATTCCTTTTTTATGCTTTTCTTTTCTTTATCTAGATCCAGATTCCTGACCTATATCTTTTTTTCTCTGTAAATAATTTATTTTAACATTTCTTGTGAGACAGGTGTACTGGCAACAAGTTTCCTTAATTTTTATTTTTCACTTTTGAAAGAAGGTTTTTTTTTTTTTTTTTTTTTTTTTTTTTTTTTTTTTTTTTTTTTTTTTAAAAAAGGTTTTTTTTTTTTTTTTTTTTTTTTTTTTGTCTTTTGTCTTTTTTCCGTGTCCGGCAACGGATCGCAACCCTCAGTGTTGCCCCCGTACCGGACCGGGGACCGGCAACGGGATTGCAAGCCTCGGTGATGCTCCCGCGCCTCGCTCAGCCAGTGAGCGGGAGCCGGTCTGTATGTGGGATCCGAACCCTCGGACGGGAGCGCCGCCGCGCTTCCCAAGCGGCGCACTATGAAAGAAGGTTTTGCTTGCAGAGTTTCTGAGAAGATGTTGGATGTAATTCTTATCTTTTTCTTGTATAGATAAAATGTTTATTCCCCTCTCTGGCTTCTTTTAGATTTTTCCTTATCTCTGATTTTCTGTAGTTCAAAAATGATACCTAGGTGTAGATTTTTGGCATTCATCCTGCTTAGTGTTCTCTGAGTTTCCTGAATATTTGGCTTGGTTCCATATTAATTTGTGGAAATTCTTATTATTGTTTCAAATATTTCTTCTGGATTTCCCCCCCCCAACCCCCCTTCTTCTGGTATTCTCATTACTCTGGGATATTAGGGTCCTTGGATATTAGGGTCTGTTCTTTTCAGTCTTTGTTCTCCTTGCTTTTCAGTTTTTGAAGTCTCTATTGACATGTACTTGAGCTCAGATTCCTCAGCTGTCTCCACTTTCCTAATTAAGGCCATCAAAGACATTCTTCATTGTTTTTGCAGTATTTCTGATCCCTAGTATTTTTTAGTTCTTTCTTAGGACTTCTGTCTCTCTCTTCACTTACATTGCCCTTCTGTTACTGAATGAGGTTCACTTTATGCATTTGAGCCCTTGATATATTAGAGTTTTTAAAAAATCCCTTTCTGATAATTTTAACATCCTAGCCATGTTCTGTCCTGATATTTGCTCTGTTGCTTGAAATTGTGGGTATTTTTGTTGGTGGTGGCTTTTTTTTTGTCTTTTATAATGCCTTGTAATTTTTTAAAAGTAGCCAGACATGATGTTACAGGTAAAAGGAATTCTATAAGTGCTATACGTAGGCATTTAGTAATGTGGTGTTAAGGTATAGAGAAGGGGAAGGTGTTTAGTCCATTCAGGCTGTTATAACAGAATACCTTAGCATGGGCAATGTATGAACAACAGAAAAGTATTTCTATGAGTTCTGAAGGTTGGAAAGTTTAAGATCGGGCTCCATGAGATTTGGTATCTGATGAGGGCCCATTCCTCATAGATGATGCCTGTCTTGTGTCCTCACACGGTGGAAGGGGCAAAGAAGCTTTCTTTGGACTTTTTTATAAGGGCACTAATCCCACTCATGAAGGCTTTTGCCATCATGAGTTAATCACCTCTTAAAGGCCCCACCTCTTAATTCTAGTGCATTGGGGATTTGGTTTACACATACGAATTGGGGCTGGGGGAACATCAGACTATAGCGGAAGTGTCTGTAGTGCTTTGATTGAGTCTTGTTCTTTTTATGAGCCTCTGTCTTTGGACTTTGAATTTTGCAAGTGTTTCTCCATTTGTTTTTTTCCCTTTAGATGGGATAGGATGTCTGCAGTTGGCCAGAATTGTATATTTTCCTTTTTCATGTGGAAGGCTACGGTGGGCTGGAGTTGGGTATTTCCCTTTACCCTGGTCATAGTACTACAGCGGATTAGGCTCTGGTTAGTAGTTTCTCCTGAGGGAAGGCCTTGTTAGGAAGAACAGAGTGTTCCAGCATATTTCAAAATGGTTCCCATTTCCCCCTCACTGTTGGAAGCAGTAAGGGGTTTTCTTTATTGTTTTCTGTAGAAACCTGATTGAGCTCTTGGAAATAAATTGCACAATATGTGGTGGCCTGCCTATGATTGGGTCCCCTGGAGGTTTTTTTTTTTCCTTTTTGTCTTTTTTCGTGACCGGCAACGGGATCGCAACCCTCGGTGTCGCGCCCGCATCGCACTCAACCAGTGAGTGGACTGGTCTCTATATGGGATCTGAACCCTCGGCTGTAGTGCTGCCCTCTACCGAGTGCGCCACCGGGCTGTCCCCCCCTGGAGTTTTAACCCTCAGACGTATCTATACTGAACCTCTGGCAATTTGTCAATCACAATTTGGGTTTTCCTGCTCTGACACTGGTTCCCACGGTGGTTTTCAATAGTAAGTCTCTGCTTCTGTAAGCCATGACTGTATATTTGCCTGACTGCCTCTCTAATCTTGGGGGCAGTCATTAGCTCTGTATCCTTTGCTTTATTACAGTTCCATGATATTTGTTGGTATTTCAGTTTCTTCAGCTTTATATTTTTTGTTAGGATGGAGTGATGATTTTCAGGGTTTTTGTCTGCAGGAATAGAAACCTAGAATGTATTTTTAAAAGTGCCTTCATAATGTGTATGTAGATAGTCAAAGGATTTTGCTTCATATAGCTATGAAAATGATGAATTATATTGGTAGGTGTGTTAATACTGAGCTTTCCATTATTCATAGAATAACAGAAAACTCAGAAAAATCCTTCCTGGTCTTGACAGTCTATTTCTCTTCTTCTACCTTTAAATATTAGTGTTTCTGTAGGTTCTGTACTTGTGTTGGTTTCTTTAAATTCAGTCTTGCAGGTTCATTATCTCTGATGTCTAAAGGTACCATTGAAATTCCAATACTTTCCAAATCTTTTATCTTCAGCTTAGCTCTTTCTCTCTACTGAACCCTGAAATCATATATCTAATTGCCATTTGGACGTCTTCACAGATATTTAAAATATGTGTCCAAATCTGTAATTTCTGCCCATTATATTCTCTCATTTTCCAAATTTCACTCCACAGTGCCAATACCTAAGTAGTTGCAGACATGCAAATAGTCTGGGAGTACAACTATTATTTTTATTCTCTGCATGGCAAATTAGTACCACATTCTGATTCTGCTTTTACTTTTTTCTCTTTTAAAGGATTCCTTCTCTATTTTGTATGCTTACTGCTCTGTGTCCTGATATATGTGGTCATCTGTCACCCTGTTTCTCTCTGACTCTCTCTTCAGCCCCTTTTTCATTATCTTTGTACAAGATGACTATTCAAATGCAAATCTTCTTATGCAACTTACACATTCTTACAGGACCTCATTATTCACACCCTGTGGTTTGGGAAGGGCAGTGTTCACCCTGAGTGAATATAAGCAATCCTTTGATGTATAGGAAAAAAAATTGGGGGATATTTTTGTACATGCTTTTAATTTACAGATAGGAAAACATGAACAATGAATGCATAAATTTTTTGCTGTTTGATTTAGGTCAAATTGTGTTTATCTCATCACAGTCCAGGATCATTCACCTAGACATGGTACTGTGTATAATTCCATTATCGTGGGGTGTGTTCCTTGTGCCCTTTTGACTGGACTTTTGCTGTTGCCTCATATTCATGAGAACACGTGGTTCACGTGGGAGAACTAAATGTCTTTAGCACTTCAGTGGAGTGCTAACTGAATACAAAATAGAGTTATTTAATTCTTACTTCGGCCTATATTAAACTTGTGTCTGAATTAGTTCATCTAACCTATTATTTCAGTTATGTATTTATACTTATATCTTTATAACACATGCAAGCTTCTTGGAGGAGCAGAATTTTATTCATACTTTTATCTCTAGCAACAGGGATGATTCTAGATCTATAAGGTATATTTTGTAACAGTTTTTTTTTTTTTTATAATTAATAAATTGTTAGTGGCAGCATATTCCTACTGTGATCTTTTTTTTCCACCATATGAAGTACAAAGAAACCACAAATTATGTAAGATACCTATGGCACATGCACACACAGAATTGTGAACTCCCAGATTCCTGTTTTATAACCCAGGGCTAGTGACTTGAGCTGAGGAGAAATGTGCTGTTACAGGGGTTGGTATCTTTTGAGGATGTGGCTGTGGACTTCACCTGGGAGGAGTGGCAGGACCTGAATGATGCTCAGAGGACTTTGTACAGGAATGTGATGCTGGAGACCTACAGCAGCCTGGTGTCATTGGGTGAGTGACACTCTGCAGTGTGTCCCAGGAGCAACACTTTCTTCTTTCTTGGTAAATATAGAAACCATTTATAAGGTTTAATGATATTTAGTAAGATTTCATTCACCTGAAGAATGTTAGTGCCGTCCCTTTCCAACAAAAGGTTCAAATTTGCCACTTCATTTCACAGCTTCTGAAGCTGGGCTTTTGTCATTTGTATTAGTTTGTTTCTGTTGCTTATAGCGAAATACTTGAAACTGGGTGATCTATAATGAAAACAAAATTTATTGCTTACAGTTTTGGAGGCTGGGAAGTACAAAGTTCAGGGAACACATCTGGTGAGAGTCTTGGTGATGGCAACAGTAACTTGGGGGTCTCACGTGACAGAAATTGGCAGAGCAGAGAGAGACTAACCTCTCATATGCTCTTCTTTTAGAACCCTCAGAACCATGCCCTGGACCACCATTATTAATCCATTCATTACAGGATGGTCCTATAATCTAATCACCTCTTTGAATCCCCACCTTTCAATTACCATAATATGATTTCCCACCTCAACAGTTACAGTGGGCATTAAGTTTTGGGGGGACATTCAACCCCAGGCATTCTGTCTCTGCTCCCCCAAAACTCATCTTTTTCACATACAAATATGTTCATTTCATCCCCAAAGTCTTCACTTATTTCAACCCAAAAGTCTAGAGTCTCAAGTTCCCATCAGTGAAAGTGGCACGTTACCTACTTCCAATATACAATGGTGGGGCAAGCATAGGGTACATATTCTCATTTGAAAAGGGACAAACAGACCAAAAGGAAAGTGTATCAGGGCAGACAAGTCCAGAACCCAACAGGGCATGCATTGAATCTCAAAGCTGGTGAATCATGTACCTTGATCATGTGTTCGATGTCCTCCACTGTGGCATGAGGATTGGGTCCCCAAGTCCTTAGGCAGCTCCCCTTCTATGGCTTTCCTGGTCTCAGGTGATGCTTCAGCTCTTGCAGGCTAGCATTGCACACTGGTAGCTCCACAAGTCTGGGGTCTCCATGATGGTCCCATTCTCATGACTCCAGTAGGCATGGTGCTACTGGGGTTTCTCTGCTACAACTCTGAACTCACATTTCTGCTTGGCATTGCTCTAACGAAGGCTCTATGTGGTGACTCTGCCCCGTGACAGTTCTTTTCCTGTACCCCCAGGCTTTTCCATACATCCTTTGAAAATGGGGTGGAGGCTCTCAAGCTTTCACAGCTCTGGCATTCTGCAAGCCTGTAAACCTAACACCATGTGGATGCTGCCATAGATTTTGGACTGCATTTTTTAAAGCTGGAGGTCCAGTCAAGCCTTGGGCCAATTTAGCCAGAGCTGGAGCAGCCAAGGTGCTGGTGTTTGGAAGCAGCTTCCCAAGGTGGCCTTGGGCAGTGAGCCCATTGAGGGTACCTTGGGCCTGTTCCCTGAGGCCATTCTGTCTCCCTAGGCCTCTGGGTCTGTAATGAAGGACACAGCCTCTAAGATCTCTTATATGCCTTCAAGGTCTTTTTTCCCTTTTCTTGATAATCCCTTTCTTCTACACTAATCTCCTTAGGAAATAGCTGCTGGTCTATACCATTGAATTTTTCTCCTGAAAATGCTCTCTACTTTTCTGTCACATGGCCAGGGTGAAAGTTTTCCTTTTTTTTGCCCTCTGCTTTCTTTTGAATTATAAATTCTGGCTTTATGTCATGGCTTTGCTGCCATAACTCAGCATGGGCTGCTGCAAGTAGTTATGCAGTTTCCTTAATGCTTTGCTGCTTAGAAATTTCTTCTGCCAAATACCCTGGGTCAGCTCTTTGAAGTTCCATATTCCATAAAATTTGGGGCATGAACAGAACATAGCCAGGTTCATTGCCTGTTCACAGCAAGGGTGATCTTTGCCTCAGTTTCCAGTAAGTTCCTTCTCATTTACATCTGAGCTCAGAATGGCCTTTACTGTCAATATTTCTGTCAATATTCTGGTTGCCACCATTTAACCAGTCTCTCAAACATTCCAAATTTTCCCTGCTTTTCTTGTCTTCTAAACTTTCAACAGCATCTAGGCTTTTCTTAGTCTGTTCCTCTAAGTTCTTCCAGGCTTTCCTCAACACACAGTTCCAAAGCTATTTCCACATTTTCAAGTATTTGTTATAAGCAACACTCCACTTCTCTGGTACCAATTTTCTGTGTTAGTCCATTTCTGTTGCTTATAAAAATATACTTGAGACTGGGTGATTTATAAACAAAATTTATTGCTTTTAGTTTCAGAGGCTGGGAAGTTCAGAGTCCAGGGAACATATCTGGTTAAGGTCTTGGTGGTGGCAACAGTGACCCAGGGGTCTCACATGGCAGAAAATGGTGGAGCAGAGAGAGAGACTAACCTCTCATGCTCTTCTTCTTCTTTTTTTTTTTTTGTCTTTTTCCGTGTCCGGCAACGGATCGCAACCCTCAGTGTCGCCCCCGTACCGGACCGGGACCGGCAACGGGATCGCAACCCTCGGTGTTGCTCCCGCGCCTCGCTCAGCCAGTGAGCGGGAACCGGTCTGTATGTGGGATCCGAACCCTTGGGCGGGAGCGCCGCTGCGCTTCCCAAGCGGCGCACTATCCAGTGCGCCACCGGGCCGGCCCTCATGCTCTTCTTCTAAAGCCCTTAGAACCACACCCCAACCACCATTATTAATGTATGCACTATGGCACGGTCCTACAATCTAATCACCTTTCCAAGGCCCCACCTTTCAATTACCATAATAGGATCTCTCACCGCAACAGTTACAGTGTAATTAAGTTTTGGGGAGACATTCAGTCCAAGGCATCATTCTTTCAAGGACCTAACTTAGCAATTTGGCAAAATCCCACATTATTTCCCATAGGGCTCTGCGTTACCAAACCTGAGGTGATCTTCAAGTTGGAGCGAGCAGCAGAGCCATGGATGATAGAAGAACACCCAAACCAGAGCCTACAAGGTCAGCACAAACTGGGCAGGGAGGCTGGGAAGAATAAAGCCTAGCAAACACTGGCAGTGTTGAGCTGTTTTTACGAATATTTTTCTGAGGTTTCAGACCTTAGAACAGCTCGTCTGCATACATCAAACACATACATTATATAATCTCCAAAGAGGGCTCTCATGTATATTATATCCCCATCTTTTATTTTCTTGATTATTTTATATACTTCGTAAAACTTAATTCCTACCATTCTCTTTTTAGACTTTTTTTTCTTTGCTGTTTACCTCAATATTCTTGGTTACTTTCTTTTTCTCCATTCTCATGGACGTTTTATTTCAGACTGTATTAGTTCATGTCCTTTTGCTTATAAATGAATCCCTGAAACTGGGTAATTTATAAGGAAACAAAATTTGTTGCTTATGCATCTTTAGGCTGGCAAGTCAGAGATTGAGGTGCATATCTGGAGAGGGTCTTCTTCCTATTAGGGACTCTCAGCAGAGTGTGGAGGTGGTACAGGGTATAACAAGGTGAGAGTTGGTAAAGCATGTCCACATGCTTTCTTTCTCTCCTTATAAAGCCACCAATCTATTCCCTGATAACCCATTAAGTCATTAACCTATTAATCCATGAACAGATTAATCTATTTATGATGGCATAGCCCTCACTATCTAATCACCTACCAAAGGCCTCACCTTTCAAATACCATAGTTGGATTTCCCATACTCTTAACACTGTCTCAATGATAATCAAGCTTCAATATGAGATTTGGGGGGACATTTGGACTATACCACAGACATTTATATATTTATTTGTTTTTTTAAGCACATCCTAATTGAGCAGGTTTTAAGCACTGTTAATTTTATAGTTATACTTACAATAGCAGTGATCTAAATTATGTCTCTCTTTTATAGAGTTTACATTGTAGTGAGAGAGAAACAAGAAAATAATACATGTTAAGTCATTGTATTGTAATCATGAGGAATATTTAACCAGAGTGAGAGAAAAAAGGTATGTGAGAATTTAGGAAAAATGTTCAGAAAAGGCAGTTTTAGGAATATTATTAAGTGTTTACTTTGGCATAGCATTAGTTCAAATTAACTTTTCCAAATTTTACATATAATCTATACACGAATGTAAAATCTAAATTTGGGTGGACATGACTATTGGAGATACAAGTTTAGAAATCAGTGTCCTACAGCTGGTATTTAAAGTCATACTTACAAAGAAGGTCATCTAGGGAGTTGAAAAGAAAGTGAGAAAAGAGGTCCATGAGCAAGGCTTTGTGCCATGAATCAGAAATCGTGAAGCTGATGAGGACTCAGCATAGGAGCAAAAAAAAGGCTGGCCTGGACTTGGGAGGAGAACCAGGAGGTTCCAGGTTTGAAGAACAAGTGAGCAAGGATTTTATATTGACGGGCTCCGATTTCTCTTTGGGAGTGGAGTTTGAAGTTAGCATTTTTCCCTTCTCTTTGTGAAAATCCTTCTAAAACAACAAAGAGAATGAGAGATGTGTGAGAGACTTCATTTTCAATGAACTAGAAGACAACCAAAACTTCAATGCACTAAACAAAAGCCTTCAGAAATTGAATTGCCAAGCAAAGGATTGTGCACAAAAAAAACTGAGGATAGGGGCCGGCCCGGTGGCGCACTGGAGAGTGCGCCGCTTGGGAGCGTGGCGGCGCTCCCGCCGAGGGTTCGGATCCCATGTGGAGACCGGTTCCCGCTCACTGGCTGAGTGCGGTGCGGGTGCAACACCGAGGATTGCGATCCCGTTGCCAGTCCCTGGTACGGGCGCGACACCAAGGGTTGCGATCCCGTTACCGGTCAGTAAAAAAGACAAAAAGGTTAAAAAAAAAAAAAAAAAAAAAGAAACTGAGGATAGAATGTCAGTTGATCTTAGAAGGAGCTAGAAAACAATTTTGCAACGATGGTGGGCACAGCCTGGGTTGCAGAAACAAATCCTTCAGAGCAGCAGAAAGGGAGTGCTCAGGGTGGTAAACAAGCTTTTTGAGAAGCAAGAGTGAAGCTAAATGAGGATTTGTAGGAAGCTCTCTTCATCTAGTGTAGGGAAAAGAAGATTTTTTTTATTTCAAAACCCCCCAGATGCCTATAGCCATTTTGAGCACCAGAGTGAAAACTAAAGAAACATTGGTTCAAAAATGTGAATCTAATCCAAATTCCTGTTGAAGGAACAGAGAATTGGCCTCCTACTTTTGAAAGTAGCTGATCCAGGAAAACCTTGCCACTGTTAAAGCAAAATAATATGAAAAAAAAAAGCAGTATGAGACAGTCACTGTTGTTATAAAAATAAAACAGTAAAAGAACAGGGTGAACAAATGGCGGGTGATAAGCAATTGGTTGAAAACTATGACTAGACAGTAGGTGAAAATGTTATCAAATACTTCATGAATAAAAATAAGCAAAGAAAAACATGATTGAACATGAAAAAATAATATAATAAGGTAGTATGTAGAAAAAAACATAAAACCTATACCCATTATTGATTTTTATTCAATCCTGTTCCATTAGGACAGGGAGAAACTTCTTTAACTTTACGTGCACATTCTGTAACCAATGCTTATATGTGGTTCATGGATATGGTTATTTTTTTTCTCATTTCAGATGTCCAGATAGTAGATAATCTAATTGAGAAAAGCCAAGAAAGTCCTGCTACACATTTGTGGCAAGGTGTAATCGCCAACAGCAACACATCAACTGAGGAGAGAGTTGAGTTAGGAATAAAATTTAATTTAAGCTCAAATCATTTTTCAAATCTGATTATAAATAATGAAAACTATTCAGAAATGAGGACTGAGGAGTTTAATGCATATCAGAACACAATTCTTCCTAGAGAGCCTGATGAGATGCATGATGGAGAGAAAGCTGATGACTGTAATATGACTGGGAAATCGCACAGACATCATGAGCATCTTAGTCAGCATAACAAGATTCAAACTGAGCAGCGGCCTTTTAAATATAGTGGACAAGGGAAAGCCTTCAACATAGAGCCAATATTATTTACACATATGAAGTTTCATATGGGAGAGAGCTCTGATAAATGTAATAAATATGGGAAAGCCTTTGATAAGTCAACTCTTATCACCCAAGATATAATTCAGGTATCAAGAAAAACTTTTGTATGTAACATATGTGGAAAAATATTCTATAAAAAGTCTAAACTCACTATACATCAAAAAATACACACAGCAGAGAAACTCTATAAATGTAGTGAATGTGAGAAATCCTTCTTGAAGAAATTATCCCTTATAATCCATAAGAGGACACATGCAGGGGAGAAGCTATATGTGTGTAATGAATGTGGAAATACCTTTCACCAGAAGTCACTCCTCAGGAGGCATCAGAGAACTCACACAGGTGAGAAAGCGTATGAATGTGAAGAATGTAGGAAATCTTTCTCCTATAAATCACACCTCAATAGACATAAGAGAATTCACACAGGGGAAAGGCCCTATGAATGTAATGAGTGTGGAAAAACCTTTCACCAGAAGGCATACCTTAGCACGCATCAGATCATTCACAAAAGGGAGAAGCCTTATGTGTGTGATGAGTGTGGAAAAATCTATCACCTGAAGTCTCTCCTCAGGAGGCATCAGAAAATTCACAGTGAGAAACTATATGAGTGCAAAGAATGTAGAAAATCTTTTTACCATAAATCACACCTCAATACACATCAAAGAACTCACACAGGGGAAAGGCCCTATGAATGTAATGAGTGTGGAAAAACCTTTAACCGTCAGTCAAACCTCAGCATACATCAAAAAATTCATACAGGGGAAAGACCCTATGAATGTAATGAGTGTGGAAAAACCTTTCACCGGAAGGCAAACCTCAGCACGCATCAGAGAATTCACACAGGTGAGAAACCATATGAATGTAAAGAATGTAAGAATACTTTCAGCCTTAAATCAGTCCTCAGTGTTCATCAGAGAATTCACACAGGTGAGAAACCATATGAATGTAAAGAATGTAGAAAATCTTTCTACCAGAAGTCAAACCTCAATAGACATGAGATAATTCACACAGGAAAAAGGCCCTATAAATGTAATGAGTGTGGAAAAACCTTTAACCGCAAGTCAAACCTCTGCACACATCAAAAAATTCATACAGGGCAAAGGCCCTATGAATGTAGTGAGTGTGGAAAAGCCTTTCACCAGAAGTCACACCTCAGCAGCCATCAGAGAATTCACACAGGTGAGAAACCATATAAATGTAATAAATGTAGAAAATCTTTCTATCACAAATCACTCCTCAATGTACACCAGAGAACTCACAGGTGAGAAACCATATAAATGTAATAAATGTAGATCATAAATCACACCTTAATAGACATATGAGAATTTAAACAGGGGAAAGGCCCTATTCGTGTAATGAATGTGGAAAAACATTTCATCAGAAGTCAAATCTCAAAAAAAAAAAAGTCAGATCTCAGCATGCATCAGAGAATTCACACAGATGAGAATCCATGTGAATGTAAAGAATGTAAAAAATCTTTCCACCAATTCAAACTTCAGTAGACATGAGAGAGTTCACAAAGGAAAAGCCCCATGAACAAAATGAATATGGAAAAACCTTTCACCAAAATTCACACCTCAGGATGAATTAGAACTCATACAAAAGAGAAACCCTATGAGTGTGCATCTGTCTCTCAGTATCCACAGAGGATTGATTCCAGGACCCTCCATGGATACCAAAATATTTGGATCTTCAAATCTCTTATATGAAATGGTATAGTACATCTGTAATATTCTCCTGCGTGATTGACATCATGTCTAGATTACTTATAACCTGAACACAATGTAAAAAAATATATAAATAGTTATAGTGTGTTTTTGTATAATATAGTGTTGGGTTTTTTTATCTTTCAAATATTTTTGATCTGTAGTTGGTTGAATTTGCAAATTTGGATCCCATGGATATGGAAGGCTGACTGTAATGAATGTAGAAACATTTTTTGTCAGAAGTCCCACCTCAGCAGACTTTAGAAAATTCACACGGGAGAAATTCTGTGTGGCAGACACTGGCTATTTATTTTTCACAAAATATTCTCTTTTCTCTTGTACACACAGTTAGCGTGCATACTCAGCCTCCAGTTAATTGTGTGTGTAACCATGTAAGTGAGCTCTGTTCAGGGGAATATGGACACAAGTGATGAACATTTACTTCTGGACAAGCCTGAAGTAAGGGGGCCTGTCTAGCCACTTCTGGGATCATTCAGGATGGAACTGCCTGGCCACTTCTCTGGGAGGAGTGGATGTACTTTATTTCCTTAAGCCCAAGGACTTATTCTTTAGGTTATAGATGCATGAGCTATTTTTCTGGGTTAGGGGCTAAGACACACAACTCAGTAAGCTGGGGGAGTGGTAGGGAGGGGAAGGAATTGGGGGTGGTTCACCTGAGGAGGGTCTGCCTGCCTGCTCTCTGGCCAGGGACTTGGGGGTGTGTCAGTTCAGCAGGACTAGGGTTAGCCACCTGGACTGCAGAACTAGAATCACAGACACTGTGAGCCCAGGCATCAAACCATTAGGATTAGGGTGTTGTAGCCTCCTGTGAGTATGCTGGGACAAAGCAGAGCCTTAAGGCTAGGGAAGTGCCATGGCTATTCACCTCAGAGCAGGGCATGCTGCTGGCAGTGGCTCTGGTTTCAAGAGTGTGCTGTCCTGCATGGGCTTGGGTCACAAGGTCGGGAGGTGGGGAGTGCACAATTTGTGCTAGTGTTCTAGAGCGATGCAGTGTGTATATTCTAGGCCACTCCCCACACTTGGCTCTAGGCTTGTCCTGCCAAAGGATCTGCCATTTTCTGGTAAGGATGGGGTTGGTGTGGGTCCTCTGCCTACCTTTTTGCCTCAAGGGAAAATTTCTCTTAGCTGATCCTGGTGTTGGAGACATGGCTGCTGAAGCCATATGCCTGTCTTTCCTCTGTATGCTGTCACCTGGGCTTTCATGCTCCACAGGGATCTCACCAGTCCCCTGTTGCACTCTTCCACTCTTCCACAGAGGCTCCTGTTAACATTTAACTGTGTTCTGGTCATCTTCTGTGGGGGGAACATGCCCCAGGCACCTCTAGTCCACCATCCTGCCCAGCCTCAAAGCCTGTTTTTAGACATTTAAATAAAGTTAATTCTTTCAATCTGTGAACATGAAATATCTTTATTGTGTCTTTTTTTTTTTATCAATGGTATATAATTATCAGTGAACAGATTGTTCAACTCTAGTTAAATTTACTTTTAATTTTATCTTACACTGTTGAAAATAGGATTTAAAATTTTTTTTTCCCAATAGTTTGTTATGGTATACAGACAATACTGGTTTTTGTATTATGATTTTGTGTCCTGCAACTTCACTGAGTTTATTTTTGAGTTCCAAGAATTTTCTTGTTGGAGCCATTAAGATTTTCTGTATATAAGAACATGACATCAGCAGACAGACAATTTCACTTAGTTTTTTCCTATTTAGTTACCTTTTATTTCTTTTTTCTTGCCCAATATCTCTGCCTAGGAATTTTATTACTTATGTTGTTTCTAATCTTAGAGGAAATGCTTTCAACTTTTCATTGTTTAGGATGATGTTAGCTGTGGGCTTATCATATATAACACATTTATTGTGTTAAGCTACATATCTTCTATGCCTAATTTGTGGAGAGTTTTTATCAAAAAGATGTTATGTTTTGCCAAATACTTTCTTCCTGCATTTATTGAGATGATGATATCGTTTTTGTCTTTTTTTTCTGTTAATATGGTGAATCACATTTATTGATTTGGGTATGGTAAACTATATTTGCATCCTAGAGATAAATCCTACTTGATAATTGTAAATGATTCTTTTAATGTACTGTTGAATATGGCTTGCTAGTATTTTGTTGAGGATTTTTACATTTATGTTCATCTGGGATATTGATTTCTAGTTTCCTTTTTTTTGCAGTGTCCTTGGTTTTGGTATTAGGGTACTGGTGGCTTTGTAAAATGAGTATGGAAGTATCCCCTCCTCATCAGTTTTTTGGAAGAATTTGAGAAAGATTGGTATTTTTTAGATGTTCTGTAGAATTTAGTCACGAAGTCATGTGGTCCTGGGCTTTACTTTCATGGAAAACTTATCACTGATTCACTCTCCTTACTCATTATTGCTTTGTTCAGATTCCTGATTTTTTCATGATTCAGCCTTGGTGAGTTATATGTTTCTAGGAATATATTCATATTTTCCAGGGTATCCATTTTGTTGGAATATAATTGTTTGTAATAGTGTCTTATGATTTTTTGCACTGATGTTGTGATAATGTGAACATATATATTTGGTCTTCATCCCCACCTCCTAACATACAACTCCTAAAATCCTTAGAATCTCCAAAGTGATGAGACTTTTTGTATGCTAATGATGTCTGACAGCTTCAGGAGGGGGGTGGTCACAGAAAAGACCAAGACAGGACTTTCAGTCCCTCCCCTCCCAATCTCCAGGGAGGAGAGAGGGACCAAAGGTTAAAGTTGATCACCAGTGGCCAGTGATTTAATTAATCCTGCTTATGTAATAAAACTTCCATAACAACTCAAGAGGGCTTTATTCAGAGAGCTTTCAGATGGCTGGACACATGGAGGCTTCTGGAGGGTGGTGTGCCCAGGAATAACATATATGGAAACTCTGCGCCTGTTTCCCCATACCTCAATGTCTGCATCTCTTCATCAGTATCCTTTGTAATAGTCTTTATAATAAATGGTAAAGGTTAAGCACATGTTTCCCTGAGTTCTGTGAGGTGCACAAACTAAGCAAACACAAGAAGGTGGGTATGGGAACCCTGATTTATAGCTAGTTAGTCAGAAGTTCCAGCAGCCTGGACCTGTGACTGGCATCTGAATGGTGGAGGTTATCTTGGGGACTAAGCCCTCTCTGTATGGGATCTGACACTATTTCCAGGTACATAGTGTTGAAATTGAATTAGAGGACATCCAGCTGGTGTTTGCTGAAGAACTGCTTGCATGCTTTCTGGTGGGGAGTTCTGCACACTGAGATACAGAAGTTGGTCTTCTGTGTTGCTTGTGCTCTTAGAGCACAGGAGAGACAGTATGTGTTTTCCCACTTTCACAGTTTTTCTCATGCCAATACAGATGTGTTATCAGTTGTAATGTCACCCGTTGCATTTCTGTCTTTATTCATTTGAGTCTTCTTCCTTTATTTCTTAGTCAAGCTAAGAGCTTGTCAGTTTCACTTAGTTTTCAAAAATCCATCTCTTAGTGTTGTTGACTTTTTCAATGATTTTCCTAGTCTGTTCATTTATTTCTGCTCTGACATTTGTTATTTTCTCCATTCTGCTAAATTGGGTCTAGTTTATTCTTTTTCTAGTTTCTTGAGTTGTGATGTTGCGTTTTTGTTTGAAATCTTTTTTTGATGTAGGTGTTTAATACCATAAATTTCTCTATTAGAACTTCTTTGGCCGCATCTCATAATTTTGTATGTTTGCTTGCTTTTTTATGTCTCAAATTTAAAAAAATTTTTTTTCTATTAATTTCTTCTTTGACCCAGTAGTTCAGAATTATAGTTTAATTTTGACATATTTGTAAAATTTTCATAATTCCTACTGTTATTGATCTCTGTTTTCATAGCATTGTGGTCTGAAAATATACTTGATTTGCTTTTAGTTTTTTTAACTTGTTAAGACTAGTTTTATGGCCTAACATATGATCCGTGCCAGAGAATATTCCATATGTACTTGAGAAGAATATATATTTTGTTGCTGTTGTTTGGAATGTTCTGTATATGTCTGTTAGGTCCATTGGTCTAAAGTGCAGTTGAAATGCAATATGTGTTTTTGTTTCTTTTCTTTCTTTCTTTTTTTTTTTTAACTAAAGTCTGATGTAAATATAGATACCTCTGTTCTCTTTTGGTTTCCATTTGCATGGAGTATTCTATTTCATCTCTTCATTTCAATCTGTGAGTGTCTTTAAATTGAAGGGTCTCTTGTAAGCAGTATTTACTTGGGTCTTTTTCTCTTTTTTTCTTAATCCAACCACTCTGTTTTTAAATTGAACAATTTAATGCATTTTGCATTTGCATTCATAGGAATTTTTGATAGGTAAGTGCTTACTACTGCCATTTTGTTAATTGCTTTTTGTTAATTGTTGGTTTGTATATCATTTGTTGCTTTCTTTATCTCTTGCTTTCTGCTTTTGTGGTTGATGATTTTCTGTAGTGATATGGGTTGAAATGTGTCCCCCAAACTTTCATGTGTTAGAAACTTAATGCCCACTTTGACAGCATTAAGAGCGTGGGGAATCCTATTAGGGTAAGTGAAAGGTATGGCCTTGATGAGGTCATTAGTTTGTGAGGACCATGCCCTAGTGGATTAATGGATTAATCCATTGATGGTTTAATGGTGGTCATGGGCATGGTTCTAAAATGAGAGCAGGTGAGTAGGTTACTCCCTCTCCTGCCGTTTTTGCCTGTGATATCCACATCACTGTAGAGCCACCATCGAGAACAAGGCCCTCACCAGATGTATTTCTTGGACTTTGGACTTCCCAGCCTCTGAAACTGTAAGCAGTGCATATTGTTTCTTTGCAAATTACTCAGTTTCAGTACTTCTGTTATAATCCACAGAAATGAACTAATACAGAAATTGGTACCAGAGAAGTGGGGTGTTGCTTATAAGAAATACTTAAAACTTTGGAAGTGGCTTTGGAACTGGGCATTGGGTAGAGGATGAAAGAATTTGGAGAAGCAGGCTAGAAAAAGACTAAATCTGGTGAGAGTTTAAAAGACAAGAAAACCTGGGAAAATTTGGAATGTCTTAGAGACTGATTAAATGGTGGTGACCAGAATGCTGATGAAATATGGACAGCAAAGACCATTCTAAGGAAGTCTCAAATAGAAATAAGGAGTTTACTGGAAACTAGGGCAAAGATCATCCTTGCTACAAACTGGCAAGGAATCTGGCTGCATGCT